TGTGAATCAAAATTTAAGAATTTCAAATAACCAATAAGCCTTGTGTTCAAGCTCAACAGATAAGTGACAAAACTTTATCAAAAACTAAGCAATAAGAAGACATATCAATAGGGGTTTTGAAAGCAGTATGATAAGCTCAGAGTACATCATCCAATTTTACAAACCAATCCTTCTTAGAATTATTGACAATTTGCTCTAAGATTTTTTTCAATTCCCTATTAGATATCTCAACTTGACCACTAGTTTGAGAATGATAAGGAGTAGTTATCTTATGAGTGACACCATATTTTGTTAATAATAGCTCTAGGAGTTCCAAAAATATTGTTCTTTAAAAACTTAACCACTGTTTTAGCATCATTTGTGAGTAGCGCTATGGCCTTTACCCATTTGAAAACATAATCTGCAACCACAAAAATATAATTATTTAAGGACTTAGGAAAAGGCCTTATGAAATATATACCCTAAACATCAAATAATACACAAATTAAAATATTATTGAGTTGAAGACTCCTACTAAGCACCAAGAGCTCTGGACAAATTTACTAAAGTCTATTATATTAACTCGTTCCAGCATTCAAATCTGGCTTGATGCTTTGGGCTAATGTATATAGAAGATAAAATCCAGTCAGACTAATCAACATTCCTAATTTTAAGGTTAACTACAAATTTAATTTTAGAAATCATAGAGGTTGTAATCCTCTTGGTATTCTAGCAACACCAAATACCTCTAGAAAAATCTATGGCATCAACTTTGACTGAACCATCTAATTTTTTTATTTTTTTTAATAATTTTGTCACTCCTATCAAGACAACTCTAAGTTCAAATAAAGCAATGAAATCTAGGTGATGAATTTTAATTAAGTCATTTAGTAATTTAGCAAAGATTTTATTACCATTACCTCTACAATTATAGAAAAAACAATTCATCAATATGGAGAAAAAAGTTTAAAAAGCATCTCTAAGATGTTGGTCCTTCACAAAATTGTAGTCCAAAGGCAAGGGATTAATAAATCTACTATGTATCCCACTCTTAGACTTAATTTTTAGGTCAACATCCATATCAAAGGAATTATCAAGGGGTTCTGCTAGCTAAAGCATCCAAGCTATATTAAGGTGCATTCTCACTAAATCCTGAATAGACCTACCTTTAGAGACACTATTCTCTAATTCTTTTTGCATTACTCATTAACCGGAAGATATTATCTTGACTTTCCTTATCTAGGTTGGTAGAGAAAGTACTAGACAATTCTTGGTTTCTATTCACAGAGTCAGCATTAAAATCACCCCCACAATTCTCTATTTTGTTTTTAACTTTTGTCTTGGGTGGCTTTTTAGAACTAGATTGAGGATTATGATTAGAAGGGCTTTTGCTATACTACTTAGATTTAAGGGAAACACCCTCACTTTTATTTTCAGCACATATCCCAAAACTAGTAAACTCCAAATTCTGACTATCAATACATGTTTCCTTATTAAGATCCTCATAGAAGTTACCTAAGAAGTCAAACCTAAAGCCTTTAGGAGACTCCTTACCTTTACTAGAACTAAATGGGTTACTATTATTCTTGATTTGTCCTGTTTTCCTCCTAATAAGTTTTTTAACCAACATCCATGGACCAAATCTATTATGTCCTTCCCTATTATTATCCTTATAACTATCTTGATTACTATCCCTAACTTGGGCTTATGGATTACCAGGATCAATTTCTCTCTCTATACTATTGCTAATAGGTAAAGAACTTTGTTTTGTATTTCCTTGGTTAAGTTTAACATTTTCATTACAGAACTTTGCCTTATGCCCATATTTTTCACAATGAAAGCAAATCAAGTGCAACCTCTCATACTCGACCGTAAACTCTTAACTCAAAACTATAAAGGAAGAAACCAACTTTCTAGTGAGGTCTAGTTCGATACAGAGTCCAGCAAATTTACCTCTAGAGATTAAGGAAGTGTGAGGGTCTATTTTTAACATATTCCCTAAGCAGGCACCAACCTGCTAAATTTTTTTTTCATTATATAGTTCTAGAGGCATATCAAGAACAAGAACCCACACTGCAATTTTCCTAAGGGTTATTTAGGAATTGAGGTTTTGGAGGAGAGAGAAGCAGAGGGCATAAATTTATATTTTAAATAAATATTTATAATTAATATTTTTTAAAAATAAAAATTATAAATTAATATATTAACAAAAATTTAATATATTAATAATATATTTATCATCATAAATAATATATAATTCTTTTAATTTAAATTAAAAATATGTCCTCCCCTCTCTTTCCTTCTAAAAACCTCCTCCTGAACATACCATAAGACGATAATCTTATGGCCTAAAGAAAGACTCCACCTCTGAACAAAGAGGTAATGATCTAATATTAGTCAGGGGCCTTCAAATAGGGCATATTTATAATCTTTAAGATTTTCAAATTTTACCAAAAAGAATTCATTATTGAGATCCAAAATTTTTTAAGTTTACCATTTTTACTTCAAATATTATTAAGCTTCGAATTAAGGAAGTTGAAAGAAATGTTTTTACCTAAAAACTTCACAATCAGAATGAACTTCCACGGATTACACCAGAGTTCATAGCCCTATTGGGGCACTTTTATTTCAGGGCAGAGATTTCGTACCTCATTCTTGTATGTGTCCATGTCATCTAACTCTTGAAAAATATTTAACTCGTCCAAAACAAACTTTATCATTTCTTTATCATTAAAAGTCAAATCCATGTTATTACCAATCATAACTTTATCCTTATATGACATGCAAAGAGGATATTTAGGGAAAGAATGCACCTGGTTTGAGAGGACCTCATTGTTATTCTTCCATTGTGCTAGCAGATCCACCATATTCATGATGTTTTATGAGTTCATCTTGACTTTCTTTGTGCTTCTAACCATTAGATCCAACTCTTCCTTAGACTGAACATCTTCCTCTAAAGGATTCATGCTTTTAGCTTTCCTTTACCTCTAGATCACAGCACAATGGAAGCCTTTTTATGATGCCTCTTAATAACCTGCTTAATCGACCCGTCAAAAGCACGACAACACAAGCATTTAGTATGAAATTCTAGGGTTGAGAAATCCTAGCAGAGAAAGAGGAAGAGTCTCTCTTTACAATGCAAGAAAACCTTTTTCGGAGAGAAAGACTTTTAACTAATATAGTCATTTATTTAAGAATTGAGTTTAATCACGTAAAAGTTATAAAATTTTATCTAAAAAAAATACAATCATTGCATTAAAATTTTAAAAGTATAATAAATATATATTTTTTTTAAAAATTATTATATTTTATTTTTTAAATTTATTTATGAAGTTAAAAAATTGTTAACATATGTCAAAGAGCATGTAATAAGGCATATATACAATAACTGTTTATTAAAATTATAAATTATCACACATTAAATATCATCGAGTATGCATTAGCAAAAAAAAAAATCATCAAATATGGAATAAATTAATAAAAGTTATTACAACTTAATTTATAGTTTTTAAATTTCTTTCTTACTTAGAGCTTGGATAAAAAATATATATGGTATAAAACAAATAGATTTAATTAAATATTTAATTTCTACGCAAATTATATAATTAGTTTATAAACATTTTTGTTAAAATATAATTTCTATTAATGTAGTATAATTAAAAATTAACACTCGATGATAATATTTCAATAAACCATATTAATTAAGATTATATCAATTAGCAGGGATTAAAAATAATTTTATTAAAAAGAAGAGACTATATCATAAAAAGAATTATAAAAACTAAGTTTAAATTATATAACTTTTATAAAAATTAAACAATTAATTGAATTAACAAAATAACATGGCATTTAATATTTTTAACAAATATATTATTTATTAATGTTTGATCATATATTCCTATACAGCCATTAGAAGAATAGTTTGCTGAAAGTATAAGAGTCTTGCAATTTTTGTCCCAAGAACAAAGAAAGAGAGTACTATATGATTGGAAGGAGAATAACTTGTGTCGACAATTTGTACTTAACGCCATGGAAACCATCAAACTCCAATCATGGGTGTTTATTACCAATGCCATTCTCCCTTGTGAGGTTTTTGGGAAAGCTTCCTCGAATGATTCGCCAACAGCAACATTCCACCATAATAATGATAAGCGTTTCCATTCTAGAAGCAAGAGAAATGCGGTTGGTGTCACTTGTCAAGTCTTGTGTGCTACACTTTGGATATATTGAGGAGGTAGCATAAGAAAATTAGATACATTATGTTATTCTTATTTTTATTATTAATTAATAGAAATGATAATTTTATTTTACTTTGTAATATTATTTTTATTCTATAACATATTACTCGTTATTTTAATATATATATATATATATTAAATATAAAATAAGATAAAATATACCTTATATTTATTAGTCTTATTTTAATTATTTCTTCTATTCTATTATTTCCCATTTTATCATATTTACTAAAGTGTCCTTCATGTAAACATATAATAGGATATTATCGTCAATAACTTGAAATATTGAGTAAAGAATATTTAACACTACTATGCTAGTAGTATTTTTCTCAAAAAAAATATTATTTAAAAATAAATAAATTCCAAAAAGTATGTTAAATAAATCTAAAATTTAAATATATTTTCACTTATTATTTTATAATATTTAATGTAAAAGTTTATTTATTTGTTATTTTCAAATTCCAAGAGGATAAAAAATTCCATTTTTATAAAAGACATATTAATATTAAATAAGGAAAATCATTTTTAAAATTTTTTATGTTATTATCTTAATTGATAAATAAAAAAGTGAATGAACCATATTGAATAATTTTCATTTTATTCAATCGTTCTCACTTTTTATACATGTAAAGAATATGACTGACATTATTTGAATATTTGTATAAAAAATAAAAAATAAAGTTTAACGGATAAATAAGAATAAATGCAGACACGCAGTAATAAATAAAAAACATAAAATGAGTAAATGAGAATATAAGTGGAGGCAGGGACAACAGGATCTGGATCCCAAAGTGGACCCAAATCCGTTGGCAATGGCATGCTATCTCTTTTCTTTTCTCTTCTCTTCTTCGCATCTCCCTGTGCTTCACCGCTTCTGATTCTAACTCTACCGTATACCAATTTCAGATTCGCATTTCCTGTTTCATTCATCATCCAACTCTTTTTCTACAAACACAATTTGCAACCGATTCATATTTCAGAATCTCCCTTGCACGGTGAGTTCTAACTTCTAAGTCAACAACTCATATTCATATATTTATATATTTATTTATACCTACCTATACCTCTTCTTTGGATTCAACTCGCTATTATATTCACTTGTTTATCAGTTCATGATTCACTTCAGGTCCTTTCATAAATGTTTTAGGTTCTGTTTCCTTCCCTATTAATTGCCTTCTCCTAATTCAATCTCAATTCCCTTTTTTGTTTGATGATTTTAAATGTTAAATTCAAGAAAGGGGGTTACAATTTTTAGTTCTTGCAAATACAATGATGATGTGTCTTGTTTACCGGCTGTCACTTATCATAGTATAATCTCACGAACTTCGCTAACTGGACTGGAGATTCGAAACGTACATGCTCACCAATAAGAGGAAAGGGGATTGGGGTCTTTATTGTTGCGAGAAATCGATGTGTTAAAATGGGTTTAAATTTGTCATCACTAGTAGAACGTTTAGATTTAGGGAGTGTTTGGATAATAGCTTAATTATGTGCTTATTCAGTAAGCTCTGATTATATAAGAGAATTACAAACATAAGTTGAAAATAGCATAAACTTGTTTAAATAAGTTAAAAAAGGGCGTACGAGAGTCCTAAGTTTTTGTCGCAGGCTCTTAATAGACTCTCTTTTAAACGTACCTTCAGAGAGTGTTTAGGTAAATAATTTAATTAGGTGTTTATTAAATAAGTTTTTTATATGAGGGCTTATGGTGTAAAGTTTAATTTGAGAGTGTAGTGTAAGCGAAAGTGACTGCGAAGCAGACATCTTATGTTGCAAGCATGAAGTCTTGAAAGTTTCAAGAATCCCGTGTTATTTCAGAGGTGTTTTCTGTCTCTTACTACTGTACCTCGAATAATTTTGTATTTTTTCCGCTTTATGCTTTTTTATGCTTATGAATTATGACATTCTCCACTAATGATACCATTTTTTACGCCGAGGGAAACTAAACCTATGAAGAAAAATGCTTTTCTTTGTGAAACGAACTTGCCATTTAACAAGTTTGCATGGGTATTTTACTGTGTCGATGGTTGATGATTTGACATTTCACCTTCTTTGCAAGTTGCTGTGTCAAGGTACTAGACTCTTAAATTGGAATGTATTGTTTACAAGATTTTAGGTTACTGTGCAATTAATCATTCCGCATTTAAAAGGGATCGGTATTTACTGTCTTGTTCCTCTGCTACCTGGGAATGTCTCTGCTGAAAGGAATACTGAACTTATATTTTTGGAAAAGCATCACTTTCAACCCATATGTAACTTTTATACAGCAAATATGCTACAAATTTTGAGATTAACTGAGGCTGGAAGATCATCTTTTGGAATTCGGAGATTACTTTAAAAATAGGAACCAACCTGAAACCTTGCCCTCTCAATGGTGGGACATCAGAAACCATGCATTTAGATTTCATTGAGTTTTACGATTGGATTTTCTCTTCTCTTTTTATTATTTCAGTGAATATAGGATTGCCCAACTTGTATAGTGGAGAAATTATAATCAAGTGACTGTTCTCATATTTCTGCTTTTTCCTGGATATGGGAGGAACTCGTTGCAAATACTACATGCGTTACTTCCCATTTAACTTATTGACAACGGATCCTATTAAAGGACACTAGTTAAGAAGCATTTAATATACCCTATGAAATACTACTAATTTAGTTACATACAAAATAAGTATGAAATGATTTTTGTGTTTTTAATATAACAAACATTTTCCTTTTCAATAAATACTTATTAATGTAGATTTATGTCATTGTTGTTAATACTTGTGCAGAATTTTAGGGATTATCGAATAACATTAAAATACATTATTGCAGAAGGGAGGTTTTTCAACAGTTTCTTGAAGAAGATGGAAGGTAGCAGTCCTGTCAAATCTGAAAGTAGATTAAAGCACCGCCCTTTGACCCCTTTTAGGTTTTTAAGGGGTCTGATATGTTTAGTGGTATTTCTTTCCACAGCTTTTATGTGTTTAGTTTATTTTACGCCAGTGGCAGTGGTAGGATTGCGGCTTTTCAGCATACGTTGTAGTAGGAAGACAGTGTCATTCATCTTTGGACTTTGGCTAGCTCTGTGGCCTTCTCTATTCGAAAAGATAAACAAAACAAAAGTTGTCTTTTCTGGGGATAGTATTCCAATGAAGGAACGGGTTTTACTTATTGCTAATCACAGAACTGAGGTTGATTGGATGTACTTGTGGGATCTTGCACTTCGAAAAGGAAGATTGGGATGCATAAAATACATCCTTAAGAGCAGCTTGATGAAACTACCTATCTTTGGTTGGGGATTTCACATTCTGGAGTTCATTGCGGTGGAGAGGAAGTGGGAGATAGATGAGCAAATATTGCACCAAAAGCTTTCAACCTTGAAGGATCCTCACGATCCTTTATGGCTAGCTATTTTTCCTGAAGGAACCGATTATACGTACTACCTGATATCCCTCTTACCTTAGATCTTATCTTTTAATTTCCAAGTGTTTTTATCATCATTTGATAATAAAATCCACATTTCAATTCCAAAATTTACTTTGACATTTTTTCTGTGTGCATTTTATGTTGTGTTTTGACTAGCATACTAAAATTTGGGTATCATATTATACCCTTCATATAGACAATAAAATTCAATATAGGAGCACATCTGACAAACTGTTCGCTTTTTATGTAGGGAAAAGAAGAGTAAAGATGGTAAAAAATTTGCTGCTGAAGCTGGGCTCCCTGTGCTGACAAATGTTTTACTTCCGAAAACAAAGGGGTTTCATGCTTGCTTAGAAGTTCTACGAGGCTCATTGGATGCAGGTTTCTTTTATAATTTCTGGACATTTTAATAAGATACTAAGTCAATTCATAATGATTATATGCTTTTATATTTTTAGTGTAAGAAATATATATTTTTAATAAAAATTAATTATCTTTAAATATTTAATACCAATTTTAAGGATCGATGATAAGTTGATAAGAAAACAGATGATGTAATATTATTAGTTCACATATCCAAGTGTGCTCATACCATGTATTCAATGATCTTTTGACATATCAGTTACTGATTTGCACAATACTATTATAACTGTCTTTATGTTGTAACTCCTTTCAAAATCCGTTATGCAATAGTCTATTGAACCTTCTCACTCGATTACATGCAGTATACGATGTGACAATTGCATACAAGAATCACTGCCCTTCTTTTCTAGACAATGTTTTTGGTGTTGACCCTTCAGAAGTGCACCTGCACATTAGGCGTATTCCTGCAGAGGAGATTCCGGCGTCCGAAACTAAAGCTGCTTCTTGGCTAATCAATACATTTCAGATCAAGGACCAATTGCTTTCAGATTTCAAGATTCAAGGTCATTTCCCTAACCAACTAAATGAAAAGGAAATTTCTACATTTAAGAGCCTTCTCTCTTTTACCGTGATAGTTTTTTTTACTTCCCTGTTTACGTATTTAACCTTTTTTTCTCTCTTTTGGTTCAAACTGTATGTGGGCCTATCTTGTGCATATCTTGCTCTTGCAACGCGCTTCAATTATCAATTGATGCCTTTATCTGACTATGTTCATGCACTCTATAACCGCAAGAAACAAAAGAGTGAATAGTGTTCTCAATTTTAATTGTCGATGTACGATTTTGGTCTTGAACTTGATATTCAAGTGCGGATTATTTGCTGTTAGTTTTATATTTTATCTTTCATATTTTTGCTCAGACAGGACCAGGAAAATCAAAGGAACAATTTTACAGCTGGTATTTGTTGGAAAATCAGTATTTGATAATTGTTTCCCAATGGCATATTTTATAAACGATTACTGACACAACAGATAGTGCCAAGTGAAGCAATAAATAGGAATATAGTTCTAATGCGACATGTTGTGAGCTGTCATCATTTAATTCCCATTTCAGAGGGAAATCACCAATAAACGTTGTGTAACTTGTACCGTGTTACAGCTTTAAATCTCAGAATTTATAAATTAGTTTCTGTCAGGCCACAGTTCGTCAAAGTTCGAGGGCTGGAATTTTCATGCGATTTTTGTTCATTACACTAGATTCTAGACAGCTCCACTTAGAGATTTAGCTTTGTGACTTGCTCATAAAGGCTATTTGAAAGAATTTGCGAAAAGTCTACGAAAATAGTTTATAACTTTTACAATTTATTATATTATATTTTAGTTTTTTTTATAAAGAATTTATTAAAATAACTCTTCTGAACTTGTTTTAATAAATTTTATAGTTAAATTTATTTGATAAGAATGTGTAATGTTAGTAATTTAATTATTTATTCAATAAAGTTTTATATAGAAGAGCTTATGATGTAAATTAAAATATAAAATTAATCAGAATAACTTATACCAAAAATTTTATTTAAAATAAACTAAAATAGTTTATAAAAGTTATAAATTACTTTTATAAATTCCTCTCCTCACACACTCTTTCAAACACTTGCTAAATTCTCATGTGACAAGAATTTATTAAATAAGTATTTGAGAAAAAAAAACATAAAAGAAAAAAATAGACTTGTGACATTATAAAAAAATTCAAGCAATAAGAACAAAAGCATGACCTGAAAGAGGCCAAAACTTAAAAGTCAACGCTAAAAAAGTGATTAAAATGTGAGTTTTAACTAGGTTAAAGCTAGCTTGAGTTCAAAGAAAGTGGTAGGAAGAAGTCTCGTATTGGTGTGGGAGACAAGATAAAAATCTCATGTTTGTAGGTCAACAACCAATTTGAAATATATAATAAAAAGTTATGACTCTAAATTATCTAAAATATTTTAAATAAATAAATTAATTAATTAAGGCTATGTTTGGTTAAAAAAAATATAATTTATTTAAAAATTTGTAACTTATTGACTCAATTACTAAGCTTATAAAGTTATTTGATAAATATAAAATGAAAAAAGTTTATAACTCAAAAGCTAGCTAAAGTAATGTTTTAACTTTCAAAACTTAGCTATCAATTTTTTTATGACATTTCTACTTTTTGTTTTAAAAATAAAGATAATTTATTTGTTATACAATTAAAATTTGATGTATATGCATTAATTTTAGTCTTTTTTATTCTCTTTATGTTCACAACAATCTCAATCATTTTTTCTCTATTTTTTCATTTGTTTCTCTATTTATTCTATCCAAATATATTTTATATTAAAAAACATATATATAAAAATTTTCATGTTTAAATATATATTAAGAGAAATTTATTTATGTATATAATTATTTAATTAACTAATCATAAATAAATAAATAATAATAATTAATTTTAATATTATAATATTACATGTCTTCTTAAGTTATTTAACACAAATAAGCTAAATGCATAGTTAGTTTGTCAAACAATTTTAATTCTTTAAGTTATTTATATAACTACAAGCTGTTAACGAAAAATTAACAAAACTAACTTTATAATTAGAAGCTACAAGCTTGCAAGTCGTTTTATCTAAGTTCAAAACATAAATTCTCAAATCTTGAATTAGCTCCTAATTCAAATTTTAATAACATGCTATAATCATCATAACCTTGTGGTAACCATTCTTGTATTGTAACCCATACAAAACAAAAACCTTTAAAACATACCCAAATCTTAAAATTGCTTTTTGGATTATGCAGTTTCAGTCGAATGAGAAAATGTTATCTAGCCATATATTTTTCGGGCTCCACTAATAAATGGATGTATTTTTCTATCTCTTAGGCATTCATGTAGTAACTAGAGAGACCCTTAGCCCCTTTCAAACGTGTTTCTTTTTTGTTTTTCTAAAATTTTAATTTTATAAATTTCCAACGTTCTTTTAGAAATCTAATTCCAAAAGAGTATTTTGAAAATATTTTAAAAATAAAGTATCAAAGTTATTTAAAATGTGTTTCATTAATTTAAATATTTTATCTTACATAAGGATGTATTTTAATTAAAACATAAAAAATTATAAAGATAATATAACTAATAAAAAAACATGTAAAGAGCATTTTCCTTGTTTTTTTTTTTTTTTTGTCTTGATTTGTTTTAGTTTCTAGTTAAAAAAATTCTTTGTTTACTTGCTAGAAGGATCAAGCTAGGCCCTCACAAACACAAGTCCACGCTCCCAATAGTTGAAACGCCAAACCACTTATAAAACTCAATTTTGACCAAAAAGAAAAAGAAAAAGAGAATAAAAGTGTTATAAAAGTACTCACACTATAACATCATTTTTTTAGTTTTTGATAATTTATATTTTTTTTAATATTACATAGTATTAGAATGTAATTAGATGTAAGTCCAAAGGATTTTTATAAGAGTTTTGGTGCAAAAGATCTCGCTCAGGCGAGGTAAATCTCGCCTAGACGAGATTGAGCGTGCACAAATACAAAGTTGTAAAACTATCTCGCTCAAGCGAGATGAGATAAATTTGACCCAATCATCACCTCTCCCAGAGTAATCTCGCTCAGGCAAACTAAGGATCTTACCCAAGCGAGATGGATCGCTCAGGCGAGGACCCACAGGAAAAAATGGTATGTTCTTTGGACACTATCTCACTTAGGCGAGATGGAGCTCGCTCAAGTGAGCATATCAGAAAAGAGGATGCGAGACCACTGTCTGTATATCTCACCCAGGCGAGATATTCGTCGCTCAAGCGAGATATCCCTCGCTCAAGCAAGAACACACAGGCTGAAGGGTATTTAAGAGATTTTTCATATGAGAAATTTATTCTATTTCAAACTCACATTCCTCTCTCTAGTTTTCTATGAACTCCCTCTTCCTTTTACCTAGATAAAAGCCTCAGAAACTCATATTTCTCTTCATAATTGGACGTTGAAGCTAAGTGATTTTAGGTAAGTTTTTTTGAGTAAAACTTTATTTTTTCGATCATCTTTCATGTTTTTGTTCTTATGGGTATCTCTTGATACAAAAGGTGAACTTCCATCTGTAACCTTTAATCCTTTTTCAACATCTCTCTGAAAGCTCATCTTCGAGGTAAGGAAAGCTCTATTTTATCGTTATAGTAAAATATTTATTTATACTCATACAACACTGTTAGGTGAATATGATATGAGAATAGATGATGGAGATATCTGTTGTGTAGAGTGTGAATGAAGATATGTTTGTTTGATTATTTAGAATGATTGATTGTCTGGGCTAAGGGGCTGATGTATGCTTATTTATATTGTATAATGAGTACTTGATATGGAATATTATGGAATTTGCTGAGTGGTTTTGTATGATTTTATGAAATATATTGAGTAAAATGATATAAGGTAATGAAGTTGATATCAAAGATTTATGGTTGAAATTGTATCAATAAATGTATGCGTGGAATGAACTTAGTTTGGAAGTGCTTTACTAAGCACGATCTGATGAGTAAGAAAGAAAATAATTTTGAGAATGACCTAAGAGTCGGATATGGATTTGATCTAGTGTAAATAATTACAGAGATACACTGAGGTTATAAAGTCCAGAGACGATGAAAATTTAAGAAAAATATAGGGTGGTGAACAACATTCGCATATATGTATACACTCTTTCTAAGAGCGAATGCATCGCATGGCCTCACACTCGTTTCCTGACTAGACTCCTGACTATGTCTTTGCTAAGGGGCCGGATTATTGTACATGTTGTATCTGTGAGCATGGGCTAACTGACGACTATTTACTTAGTTAAGTAAGACCTCAAAAAGTGCTGGAGGCAGCGGTATCTATGATCATAGTGGAGTGCATGTTGGAATAAAAGAAAGGAAAATGGATAATAAATTGTTGATTGTTATGTGTGATGTGAACATATTTGTGAATATAAATTCATGAAACTGAATGTGTTGTATTTATGTTAAAATTATGATTTTATGCTAAATGTTTGTAAAGGATAGAATAGATGCTCATCCTTACTAAAAATTTTCAGGAACCCAAGATGACGGAACCTCAAGGAAAAATTAGATTAATAGATAGTTCTGTATATTTTAGGTTAAATTATGTATTTAATGAATATCAAAGAGTATGTCATTTTAAATTTGTTGTACTTGTAGAAGATGAATCTAGGATTTTTGTTATGATAGAGATGGATTACTCTTATAATATTCCATTTGATTTTCCTAAGAATAGAATACATCAGACTTTATGTATATATGTATAGAGGTACGGTTAGGATCCCGGTAGCTCTCATGTACCTATTTACCTACCACGATTATGATTATCTCGGAAGACCGTCCAGATGAATCTTTGAACGCGTCACTGGTACAGAGGTTAGAGCTTATTCAGGCAATCTGTACCTGGGATCAGACGAGGATCTGGATTCATAAAACTTAACTGAGATAGAGAGTTGGGACGCTGGAAATGAATAGGACTGATCTTCAGTAGTTGGTTTTGGAAAAGACTGCTCTAAGACTTGTATGTTTATGTGTTGTAAATATTTTGGTAATGTAATTATTATTTTAAGTCCCATATATTTTGACAAATGATTTGTAAATTAATATACTAGATCTATAGAATGCATGTTTAATTTCTTAACTAGAATTGTTTGATTATGTTTTAAATTTAGCCCTTTTAAAATTACCGTCGTATCATTTATATTGATTTATATCGAACTATTTATACAAGATACTATATCTAATAGAAGTTTTCATTAATTTACTATAATTAGTTCATTAAATTTTACAAATGATATTTTATTTTAAATGATTAAAAATAATTTATACATTATACAGATTTTGAGATAAGGGTATTACACACAGTCAACTATTTATTCAACTTTGGAAAATATATCAAGTGATGAGAGCTATTAGGTTGTATGTAAAATGACTAGAGTT